TTATTCGCACCGTATGAGCGTTTTTCTCATCCATTGTGTTCGGCATTACCGTTCGTACACTTTAGACATGACAAAAAGGAAAGAGATTCTAGAAGGGCCATCATCTGTATTTTCAGTCGATTTTGAGTTCATGCTCTTTTGAATACCTGGAACATGATCAGATTGCAGGCTGATAGTGGTAAATATTCACAATACACCCACGCTCAAAATATAAAAATTTCGCATGATTAGACTCCAGTAGGAAAGGAGTTACGACTGGAGAGTACGGCTGAAGAACCATTTCACCGGAGACCTTTGAGCGCTACTGTATGTAGCTGGAGCATATTTCACACTACCGTTTCAGTGCTAAGTAGCATTATCCGATAACTAAGGGTAGGGCTTTGTTGAGGTAGTAGACTTCGCTGAAAGCAAGGTTAGCGATGTCTGCAATTATTCGTCGCAACATTTTATGTACGTCTACTAGAAGGGTTACGACGGATTGCACTACTGGAAAAGCTTCCGGCCGCCAGGCCTCTGAACGCTACTGCATTATGAAAAAAAGACGAAAAAGACGCGAACTCGCGTTTTTTCGTGATTTTTTCGAATAATTAGGGTGTTTGTTGCACCGTAGGTGTATTAATCATGTCGCTTGTACACGCGTCGAACTTGAACGCCCTACGTCCAAATTAATAACTTTCTCGTGTGCCCCACCCCTCAAGGGCGAAGTCAGGTTGTGTCACCACCCATCAACATTGCCAAACTACCGCCTGCGGCCCTACCTAATTTAAACGCACCGGTTCAAATTAACAATTTTCGCTCACGCTCCACCTCCTGTGAGCGCACTGAAATCCTACCACCTATCGTCAGTGTTTCCATCCTGCCGCCTGTACTCATGCAAAAATTGATAGGTCTACGGGAGCAGGAATTATGAAATCCCGTTCAAATATTTATTTCGCGCGAACACTGCCCCTGTAGACGGAGATCGCTCCTGCCACCACCACAAGTGTCCCCATCTTGCTGCCAATGCTCCTACCAAATTTGAATGCTCTAGGTCCAGTGGGACAAGACTTATGAATTTTCGGTCAGGCAAACACACCAACAGACACACTTAGCAGATTATATAAGTAAGGTGCTACCCGCACCCACCAGCTTCAAGCACGACAACGTAGACTTTGAGTTTATTCATCATGTCTTTCAAGCAAAGTTCAGCATACAGACCTCTAGCGACAAAGAAAACGTGGTTTCTATTGCTATACCATGACCAATCTTTCTGGTGACTAATGATCGATATGGCGCCTTTTACTGTTGACGTAACACAACCAGTAGCCTACCATGATCATGATGCTTCATACAGTGTCTCAGCAACACTCATAAGCCTACTTAGAGTTTGCGCCACTGCATGGTAACTATGTAAGTTTTCCACTAGGCTACGAACTCTCGGCGAACATCTCCAGGCCAATGCATACATAGAACTGTGAGAGTGGGTAAGGGAATAATAAGTTGCCTTTAACATCTACCATTATAGGCTACATTTGGCGTCCGTCAAAAAAACATAAGTGGTGGCGACTATAAAAACAAAACTTTCTGTCTTGTGCATTGGCCGAGTACTCCAGCCGCTCAATGGTAAGAATTGCCTTATTGCTTAATAACTCAAACATTGAACCACACTTTACCATTCCTCGGGCATATGTACAGTTGAGAATGTGAAAAGTTCAAAAGAATCTTAGCCTCAATGTCTTACTGAGAATACTTCACGCAGATTTCACATCCGTTCGCATTTTAAAAATCCCGGTTTCTAACAATGGTTCTCCGAGCAAAATCTCTGTCGAATAAAAATCCGATCTGTTGTTCTGACATACTCGAATCGTCGATGTTTTGAATCTCTCAGCAACGTCTAACGTTCATGAGCTTCTAGGCGTTGTGAAGAAAGCTGCACTGTCCACTGATCGTCGATTTCCTCGAGCGGGCGCCAGTATCGTCTCCATTCGTCCCTGTCACGAGCCAGAGTGGTCCAATGAATCGCTCCAGGAACACGAGGATCAACATTCCTTTCGTTCTCAGTCTGACCATCTCGTTGGCGGTCGTCCTGGAGTTCGTTTGACGTCCTGAGGGATCCAGTCAGTAACCGCCCTGGTCCACCGGTCACATGACGCGCCCGGCCCCCCTGATCTTCGATTTCTTGGCGTAGTCAACGGCATCCCTGATCTTCGTTCGTTGACGGAGCTCGGAACTCTGGATTCCCGTCTGCACTTGCGTGTAAAGGGAAATTCCGAGCATCGTCCTTTCCAAAGCGCGTTGAGCAACGCTGACAGCATGCTCATCCTGCTTTCGCAGAAACCGAGTCTCTGAGGCGTAGGTCAAAGCAGGAAGAACAGCAGTGTCGAAAAGGTGAGCACGGAGCCGGATGTTCTTTGTCTTCCTCACTACTCCCTCGATCTTTTTGAATGCTCCCCACGCGGCGCGTTTCCTTCTGCACAGCTCCGGAGCTAGGTCGTTCATCATGTTGACTTCCCGACCTAGATACACATAGCTAAAACATTCGGAGGTAATCTTTCCGTTTAGCGTGAGGGGAGCATCAGGTACCAATCCGTTTTTCATGAACATCGTCTTCGTTAAGTTCAGTCTCAATCCGATCTTTCTACAAGCACTGTCAAACTCGGCCAGCATTCGTTCCGCCTGCTCGATGTTCGGTGTTATGAGCACGATGTCGTCTGCAAGGCGGAGGTGATGTAGATAGCGGCCGTCGACTTTCACTCCCAAGTCTTCCCATTCCAAATGACGCATGATATTCTCGAGAGCGGCACTGAAAAGTTTGGGCGATACGGTATCGCCCTGCCGGACACTTCTCTTCACGCTGATAATGACTTCCTTGTAGAATGGTGAAATCCTTGTCGTAAAGTTGTCGTAGAGCTCACGATGCATCCTTATATATTGAGTAGGAACACCCTGGTTGCCCAGGACTTCGATTACCGCTTCTGTCTCAACAGTGTCAAAGGCTTTCTTCAAATTGATGAACGTAAGACATAAGGGCGTTTTGTACTCTCGCGATACTTCAATGAGTCTTGTAAGAGTGTGGATATGATCGATTGTGCTGAACCCTCTCCGAAACCCTGCTTGCTCACATGGTTGTCCTCCGTGTCCTTCATCTAATATTCTGCCAATCCTGTTTAGGATGACGCGAGTGAAAAGCTTATAGATTACAGACAGCAGGCAGATTGGGCGATAACTGCCAATATCGTCTGGAACTCCCTTTTTGTACAGCATCACAGTTTGCTAGTTTTCCACGACGCGGGCACTTTGCATTCCGACAGGTATCGCGTGAAGAGCCTAGCCAGAGTTCTGACGATAACTGGTGGAAGACTTTTCAGATGTTCTGGTTTGATCCTATCGGGACCGGGCGCCGTACAGTTCTTCATCGACGTGATGGCATGTCGGATTTCGGAAGGGAGAACCGAAGAAGCGATATATTCGTCTTGCCTAAGATGGTGGGTAGGCAGGTAGACGTAGCTGTCGAAGAGATTAGAGTAGTAGTCGTAGTTGACCTTCTCCATTGCCCTTCGAGATGCAGTAACTGTTCCGTCAGGACGACGAAGGGAAATCTGTCTTGTAATTGGCGAAGCTCCGTCGGACTTTGCGAATGCTCTTACCGGCTTCGGCGGCTCCGTCCATACTGCTGCTCTTCTCTCTTTCACATCTTCCTTTATCGCTTCTCTGCATAGCTTCGCAAGTTCGGACGTTTGTTGATGATTGCCTGTAACTCGCGCGTCTGCATAGCTTCGCAAGTTCGGACGTTTGTTGATGATTGCCTGTAGCGGAAAAATAATTAATAGAAATCATGAGAGGCAACTTTACTCCGCTGAGATGAGGACGCTCAAATTGGCCTGCAGTTGTACGCGATCGGATCAGGAACGAAGACGTCAGAGCCGTCATGCATACAGCCCAGGTCCAGCATAAGGTCAGAGAACAGCGTTTACGATGGTAGGGACACGTACTGAGAAGAACACCAAATCGTTCCATAAGGAAGAGGAGTTTAAGGCTCAAGAGGAACGACCACGGGAGCCCCAGAAAAGAGTTGGCGGAACGTGATCAAGAAGGACCTCGCCGAACTCAGAGTAACGGCAGAAGATGTCGTAGATAATTAAAAGGAAGTGGAGACGGTTGACAAGATTAGCGGACCCTGCGGAGGCACGGTATTAACGCTATAACGCTAAGGAGAAGAGGAAGAAGATGTTGAAATGATCTGTCATCGTTAGCAAAGCTGATCGGGATCGTCTCTTATGTTTTGGATGAGCGCATATGAAGGAATATGAAAACAAGATTTACTCTTGCTTACGAATCTCTGGATCAAACTAGAAAAAAAATGAAGCTGCTCTATGTGACAGAATGCAACCTTTTCGTGATGTATATTATGTAGTTCTAGCAATTTCTTGAATTACCAACAAGCGCGCAAATGAGGGGATTACGAGGTAACCTTGCCCTAGTCAAATCTTGATACTGGATTCGTCCATGCGAGGTCGATTGAAAGTTTCAAGAATAAAAACGCCAGATTTGCATACCGCACTGACCATCTTCCAAAATTACTACCATGAGACAAGTCTGCAGTGAAACCTCGTTACGATGCTTACGTGAATCCTTAATGAAGTTGATGAAACCGAGTATTTTTGATTCCGAGATCTGACTGTGATGAAAAAAGATTTTTTGTGACAACGGCGCACAATTCTCTATAAGTACTAGTAGTAGTACAGTAGTAGTTAGGCAAAATCATAGAGGTTTGTGCACATCCTTAATGAAGTTGATGATGATGTGAACAACAGTGCAAGGGTGGCGAAGAGGGCGTGAAAATCGGCGGAGTTTGGAAATTTTATGACTGGATAAACTAACTAAACAAGAGGTTATTTGTAATCGTTCGAGTGTCTCTCAAGTCCCACGCTTCAATGTGAACAGTGCAAACTCAACAAGGACGGCATAACATTTTGGGTATGCACATTGGAAAAACCGGTTTTTGAGCCCTTACTACGCTCCTTCGTTCGTTTTTCGGCCCAATAATGTCCCACGTACCATTCATTGGGACCACAGGTGGTTCAGCATAAAAAAATCTCAAAAACCTTTTTTGTCGCGACCTGTGCCTTTAATTAAACCAGACTTTAGAGTGTTGCTGCGCTGAGTTTTGACAAGGCTACAGGACTTCTTACATTGTGGTAGTTGGAATATATTCCTAATCTGTCCGTCACGAAAATGTTTGTATTTCAGGTACATTACCACGTGCTCTGTGATAATATTTATAGTACCAGTATTAGTCATTTTCTACTGCTACTACAAGGTGTTCTGTAAACTACGAGAAGCGGCAAAGGTGAGAGAATAACTACATCGAGTACTAGTATTAAATTACTAGTCCATAGATGATATAGGGCAATGAGAACTGGTATCGGTCGATATCTCGATTGGATGGTATAGTAGGCTGTGCACTGAATTTATAAGAGCAAATGTGCGAATTTGCGTCGAGTTCCGAATTGAGACCTAGGTAGGCCGTCGAGTTTGGAATGCTGTTTACGAACCTGCAGGCAAAAATTGCTAATTACGTTTCTCAAACATGTTATGAGCGCAAGTTTTGCTCGAGGGCAGTGTCGGTCTGAAATGTACCATTCACCATTATGCGCACCAAGCGTTTCCAAACCTTGCTGTACAGGAAGGATGCAGCTGCCCTTCCGGCCATCGCAGAAAACTTTGCATTATCTGCATAATTTGTAGTAAACGTTCTGATCACTTTTCTTGACTTTCATCGGAGTTATTTCTCATTCCAGCTAACAAAAAACCAAAAAATGGTCAAGCAACAACGTACCTACAACAGTGCCCTTCCACTGGCACTTATGTAGGCTGTGTTCTCATTACAACAGACGTAAGTAGGCAATCTTCTCAGGTCACAACAAACCTCTGACCAGGGAAGGATCCCAAGTTGAAGTGACCTACACTACACGACAGTGGCCATTTGAAATGAGGCCTACACTGCTGGACGTGTTTTTGGATGCTGAGTTCAAATCTGCTTCCCAAATTTGCCAAGTGTTTCTCTGAACGCAGTTATGAGGGTAGTTTCAGGGAGCTTAACATAAGAAAACTTAGATTACATGGATGTGCCCGCTCTCTCAGCGGCGGCTTGGTGTAGTGGTAAGCGTGACGCTTCATGTGCGAGAAGCTTGAGTTCGGGTTTTGTGGGGGACGGAATTTTCGCATTATATAGGATTTGTCCCTCAAAGACTAGAAAATACTCTCATAGTGATTTTATCACTTTTTATGACCCTTCATTTCTTTTGCTGATATTTATCCACATAGAGTAATATTGGGTTGTAACATAAGTTCGTAGAGTTTTGGGTTAGAGTTATTTTGCAACGTTTTGTTTTGTTATTCAGCAAAATGTATACATTCCTCCGAAAGAGCTTTTTCTCCTCTACAAAACTGTTTTATCTGTTTTTTTGGGGAGTTTAATTGTTCGTCTTTTTTCTGGCTCAGAAATGGAATATCTAGGAGGAAAAAATCAGCATTTTCGACATCTGCTTTTCTTGCCGAAACAGCTCGGGAGATATGCAGTGTGTACAGGGAAGGTGTCTTACATAGGTGTGTCTACTGCACAAAAATGGTTCGCAAAACTTGAAATGGGCGACTTTGAACTTGAAGACACGCCTCGAAGCGGACGACCTGCAGAGTTCGACTAAGAGCGTCTGAAGGCACTATTGAAGGAAGATGGTCGCCAAACCATTCGTGTATTGGCTGATTATTATAATAACTTATTTAATGATTTATTATTGCAATTATTGCTTTTTGTTCAGAGAAATCTTTGTGAAAAACTCTACGAACTTATGTTACAACCTAATACTTCAGTTTCACTCGCATGCCCATGCACTCTAAATTCACAGTAGGATAACTTTCGCCACTTTATGAACAAATGTGATACTCTAGCACGAAATGCTTGAAACAAAGAAGCTTCTCACATTGAGAGCAACGGATGAAAAAAGAACTCGTCGCAGCTCATTGCTTTACACTTACTAACTCCAAATCAGGAGGAAAACAGAATTGTGTAGGGTCCGAAAGTCCCTAGGGTGAGTGCTTAAGCAGCCGCTGGCATACCATGAATAAAAGAGAAACTTCACAAATCCAACCGCACAGAAATGAAAGTATAAAAGCGATAGTAATCGAATAATGGGGTCTCGTGTGTAAACGCAAAAGTTGAGATCACGAGCTACTTCATATGAGGTGGTGCGTTTAACCATATTTCAAAAGGAAATGAGAAATGAGCTTCTATCGGCTGTATTAGCCTCGTGGCAGCCTAGAGCAGGGTGTTATTCCCTTCACCTGCTTCTGTGGAGGCAAGACGCACTGAGTAGCTTTCTGGTCTTTGAATGATGTCCACGAGTCCACTATCACTAGTGCCGGTGTTGGTGAGTTCGAAGATGCTACGCACCATCGCACCCAATCCAGCATAAGTACTCACACTAGCATCGTCGTTGCTCATCGTATGCGTTTTACTCGCCCGGCCCTCCAAATTTTGCGCAAGGAGGAATTTCCCACTCGGTAACAGGTAGGTAGGTAGGACAAGGTGTCAGAAAGGCATTAAAAGGTCATAAAACGTGATGAAATCACCATGCGAGTATTTTCTAGTCAAGGGAAAAATTCTATATAATGCAAACACTCCGTCCCCCACAAAATCCGAACCCTGTCCTCTCGCACATAAAGCGTCACGCTTACCACTACATCAAGCCGTCGTCGAGAAAGAAGGCGCATCCATGTGATTTAAGTTTTCTTATGTTATGCTCTCTGAAACCATCCTCTGCTCAGGAAACGCTTGGCAACTTGGACAGCAGATTTGAACTCAGCATCCAAAAACACGTCCAGCAGTGTAGGTCTCATTTCAAATGGCCACTTCCACTTGGGATTCTTCCTTGGTGAGTCGCGAGCCCTGATCTATTCATAACTTCCACGGGATCAAAGGAAGAGGTTGGATCTTTGTCACAACACTAGCAAAAATGTTGGTGAGCCTGAACTGAGCCTTATCACATTGGATTTTTTGGTTCTTTTTTGTGACGAACCCCATTATCTTCTCTGATATGTGGGGTTAGCTAAATGCGAAGAGTGTAGGCCCATGTCTGCCTCGAGGGGCGTAATTGGGGGGGGGGAGGGGGAGGGGAAACGGTACTGTACAAGCGTCAGGCCCAGGTTGACATGCGAGCTGATAGAGAACGTCAGTCACAGCGGATATGTCTCGAGTCTCAAGAGTTGTTAGTGATAAAGTTAGTACGCCGCTGAGGAGGCGCCCATAAGTCCCAGCGAATTATATGGACAGTATGCGAAGGTCTACTCAGTAAAGACGGCCACGGTCTATGAAACTAATTTGAATTAGGACCCTGCATGTCCAACTGCTCACTGGGAGTCCTGAAAGACTGCAGGCATGAACAAGAGCAAGATCATCCAAACTCTATGCCTTCAGGAACACGCTGGAAAGGAGCAAGGGCCAGAAATTTTGAGAAGCAGTCAAGGGATGAACGAAGCAATGATGCCGTAGCAGTTTCCTATTTTTTGAAAGAATCTGCCTTCGCTCTTATTAAGAGCAGCTAACGAATCATGGCTATGAGTTCAGACGCGATAAACGGGTACTGATGAATAATATCCGTGTATGCGCCGCAATCATGCGGTCCTGAATAAGAAAAAGATATGAAGATTGAAGTACTGGTCCCAGATACAGATGGAAAATAGGTTACAAATTTCGTATAACGTCTGTATGACTCGGATTATTTTTTGACCTTTTCGAAATATTCGAGCTGCAGGCGGAATAGGTCGATGAAAGGTCAGGCGCGTTAGTCACTTATGACGATTGGCCACTTGGTTTTGAGACGATTGACTGTTCCTTGTGTGATATGGCTAGCTATTTGTGGACAAATTCTGCTTCGGAATTTCTCTTATACGTACTTCTGCTTTCTGGGCACCAAATCCTTCATCGCTTACAGTACCCAGATTGTGCCCACAACTCGCCAATCTTGAGAGGTTTCCCAATGGCTGAATTGCAGCAGTTAACAGAGAATACGAAGTTTGAACAAGCTCTCCCTTCTACAGGGACAATGCGCAATCTGTGGACGACATGTATATGCCACTATTCACACTTTTCAGTAAGTTTCGGTGGTTGACACTGCCACGTATCAGGAACCGATTTCTGGTTTCGTCAAGGTCGAGAATAAACGAGAGTCATACCACTTATTTGCAAACCATTTCATCTTCAGTAAACAGCTGGGGTGGATGACAACGAAAATGGTGCTTCATTATTTGTTTATATGTCTATTTATTCATCTACCAGGATTGCAAATTACTTAGGTCCTTGGAGGAAAACCTAGGAATATTGATAGGGATAAGGGTGCTGTTCACGTATGTAGGCGTTGGAAGAGCTGTATGAGTTTCTCAAAAAGTGTTATGAGTATCAAGGTTCACTCAGGGATAGTTTCAGTTTGTGCGCAGCTGTCCACCACACAGCAAGTGCTTCTGTGGCGCGGAGATAGTGCTCTCCCTCATCAGCTGGAAATTTGCTTTCCATCGTGGTCGCAGTTTTTGCGGAGCATGCTTTTTCATAATAAAAAGTTTTACAGCCTTCCGTGAGGTTATTGCTTCTGATCATCGCTTGATTTAGAGCGTTTCTGCACGTAATTTGTATGACACTCTTTTGCTGTCAATATTCACACACACATCCATTTGATAAAAGATACATGTTGAAAACCCAACATGGGAGAAACGCACAAGATAACATGTGTGAAGGAAATATGTAAATCATCAATCCCAGACTTTTACAGGCTAATGCCGATGATAACCCCTTCGTGTTGAAATAAAGCCACATCCTGCATTTTTCTCATGTATGGACGTCTGATAAGGGAGAACAGTAATTGATGAGTTCCGTCAAACACTTCACCACGCTACGTGCGCGCCCCGCCCGCCATGAACGGAGTCCTACTCAAAACCTGTGTCTTTCACTAACACGATTAACTAATTCCAACTTGATTTCCGACACACGACACATAAACACACATACATACACACAAGCACACACACAAAAAAAAACCCAGCAGACTCATCTAGCCGATCTTAGTATTGTATATATAACGCGCTAATGTCTGTGTGTTTGTGTGTGTATCCGAGTCCTGTCTCCGTGGACCTAGAGCGTTCAAATTTGGAAGAACTACAGTCGGTAGAATGGGAGCACTTATGGTGGGTGGGGGAACCGGAGTACACTCTTAGGCGTGGGGTTTGCGAGAAATTTGCCGATTTGAACCTAGAACCCTAAAATTAAAGGCACCGCTCACGATAAAAAAAGTTATTGAGTTCTTACCTTATTAATACTCGACGGTCCCATGGGTTGTAGAAGGGACCCTCTCACTCCCCCAATTTCGACGTCCAGGGCATAGTGGCAGCCACGTTGTTGCCGTAGTTCGCGTTCCCGCCCCTCGAACGGTGTCACGTTAGACGAGTGTCGAGACAATACAGATCGATATTATTCGTTCTAGTACCCACGCACAATCAGCTAATCGCCGAGTGATGAGGCGACGTTTTTCTCCCATTCTTTTTTCCTCTGTTTTTCTTTTTGCTGCCGCGATCCCTTATTTAATTTCCTACTCCTAGAGGCTGAAAAAGGTGAGCTACTTTTGCTGTCACTAAGGTTTTTAAGTAAAATTGTCGTGAACGGTGCCTTTAAGAAGAAGACAGGAGGCAGTATGGGAACCGCCATGGTGTGGGGGAGGGTCGGAGTTCACCCCCGAGGGAAAGCTCTCCGCAAAACAAATGTTTGACCAGAAGTTCGTAATTCCTGTTCCCGTGGACTTGTAGAGTTTATAATTGGTAGGAGTAGAAGAGGCAGGAAAGAACACTCACGATATAAGAGGGCCTAAAGAGCAAAAAGCACTCTCTAATTGAATCCTTATGCCATAGGTATTTACGATCTTACTTTGACTCTCTGATATGTTTCATTCGATAAGAAGGGAAAGAGTAGAGATAGGGACAGATTAAGGGAACTCAATTATTAGGAGATGTAATTTCTCCGTTTCTCGCTATTAGATCATGACCGCTACCCAGCAAAGTTTGTTACTCAGTGAAGGACCACGGTTTCGCTTTGCTTCGATATCATTCTTGACAAAAGATTTATGACCACCAATAATCTTGGATTCTCATCTAATGATATAATCGCAGAAAAAGGAGCTTCACCGATAAAGACATTTGATAATGGCGTTATTATTATTCAACAGCATGTGTGAGTACAATTCAAGGCTTTGGTTGCCCACCACTTGAACCTTCAGTGTGTCATTATTCTTAAAATGAACAGCAACAGATCGAGACATATAATTATAGGCATAAGCATCGACGCATTTTGAATTTGCATACACTGTTAGTCCTCTATCAAATCTTGCGTTGAAAATAGTATCAATTGTTACGAAGGAGTGGGCCAGTTAGTCGATTATTACAATTCTGTCACAAGAAGGCAGGAAGTCCGGCGTCAGCCGGCCTACCCGACTCGTTAAATAGTAGGATAGTGATTAAGATTCCCACGTGAGCGTTTAGGAGCGATTCAGCAACTGAAGAGGTAACACTTGTGGGATGAAGGAAAAAACGGAAATTGGTCACAAACTTAGGGAAGAGCTAGCTTTCAGAAATAGGTTGCGAAGCATTCCTTTCAAGCAGAAGGACTCGGCCAATTACTGGCAATGCATTCAATATCATGCACAAAGGTATAAAGAATTTTAAGAATGCCATCGAAAGGCAATGACCTAGGGAATAGCGAGAATTAAAAATTCAGGATTCTTTTTGGGGTCGTAGGATATTAGAGGAAGAGGTCGCCAGAAAATTGCGCTGAAGAAGCTCCTCGTGCTCAGTTCAAACATACCCAGAAGATTTGCCAAAAACTTGTCAAGGCTGCTTTTCAAATATCAAACACGAAATGTCCACTAAAATCACCGTGAGCTAAGATATAAGATATATGCGCTTGCTTCTATCTTACAGTTAATAAAATAAAAACTCGGCTCAGAAACGCGTCCCTTCAAATATTAGATAGTTCCGCAGATTGTGATCCAGCTCACTACAAAATTCTCTGTAGTCAGAACTTAAACAAGGGGAACTCTGTAACGTACGGAGGGACGAGAACACTAAGCCAGTGGTTTGTTCACAGGTCAGCAGGGTACATGCCCTACGCCAGCCATTGTACAAAATGCGATGAAACTGTTCACAAAGATTACCGATTGAGAGGAGCTTTAGGAGCTTCTTACATGTTGATTGGGAAACGTCCGAGGGACACTAATCATGCCTAACTTTTGCATAAATCAGGAATGGGAGGAGATCAGGTGTCTGCTTTGAACACGAGGTTTAGAAGCAAGAACAGGCGGGTGGTCAAACGCACAAGAAGGGAAGAACCAAAGAGATTTTCTACTGCTAAAGCACCCGCCAAATCTGAAAGAGAAATGTTCTATGGGTGAGCTGACACACTGAACTAGCTCGCCACTTTTACAAATTTCATGAATTTTCGGCAACATTACACTTCAAGCTTCCCCTAACAGCAGTCTATTTCAGGTCAGGATCACAAAACATTTGAATAGTTTCCTGCGACAAAGTTCTATTTGAGAGTCTGTGAATCGATTGCTTGTTCCCAATCTGCAGTGGAATGGACAAAATGAGAAATATAATAGCTCCCAATAGTAAAAAAATGTATTAGTCCCGCGATAGAAGGAAGTTTTTGGACAGAGAGTAGGACTTTACGTAGGTCGGGAAGTGCACGCACCTCGGCGGCTTTCGCGACCAGTTCAGTAGATGTAATAAGTCGGAAAGCAACCTCTTCTGATTTTCGAAATCTAGGTATCAAGTGTCGGTATAGTACATATCCTCTTAAAAAGACTACTGGAAATCGAAGGGAAACAGTTCAAATCATGTTCATCTTCAGCAATTTCAGAGGATGCTCGGATTACCAAATTCCTCAGAATATAGGCGAGAAAAGCTGGTCTGTACTTTTAGGCACTATTGCGTTCACTATACCAATCCTACCGCAGTTGAAACTCGTATGAGATGGTACTTTCTCAAAGATGAGCTAGAGCTCGTAAAGGAATATATTTAAATTATGTGACGATTCTCGAAGTTGGTCACCACGCCTACTTCGACGCGATTCTTCGATTCTGCAGAAGCTAATTCGACCATTCTCTGTAGGACTTGACATCCAAACGTATTTGGCATTACTACGTGGTTTGGTGGCTTTCTAAAAACTTGATCGATGAAGCTTCCTGATACTTTAAAGGACTTTATAAATACCAGATCGTTTTATGATAAGGGAAGAATATCGCATTGAAATCACATTTATGAAGGTAGAGAAGTGTGGTACCACCGCTCAGTTCCAAAGCTGCGAATTGAACCTTGTCCCGATAGAGGTCAGAAATCGTGAAAAAACTACCGTACTAAAAACAAGGTTACATGAAAACTTCTGCGATGACTACCACTTTTCAGAGAACGAGTACTGTGCCACATTTCAGACCGACGCTACCTCCCAACAAACTTTGACCGCTCATAGTTTTATGAGAATTATATTTGATACTCTATATTTCAATTATATATTTTTGAAAAGCATTCCAAGCACTTGATGTGTCTATGTTTCCATTAGAAATGCAATGGGAAGTTGAATTCTTACCCTGGATGGAGCGCCTTCACTGCAATCACCAGCGAGCCCACACTATAACTGTGACACAACGTGAGTTCGAATTTAGGGCTCTCGGCGATTACAACGTTCGACCACGACCAGAACATCGTACCAACGAGTAACACGAAGTGTTCAACGAGTCGTTCTTTTTCATCTCCTATGCTGGTTAGTTGAAAGTTATGAGTCTCATAGAATGGGTTTCAGGTCAACCCGAGAAGAGTGCAAGAGCTTGTTCTGCTTTTATAACATATCATAAACAAGGGTTCGCAAAGGGGTGTTAGGATAGGATACTTTGTTGAGGTATGACGTTGTTATTCAAGTATTCAGAAGTATTATTCATTCCACCAAAGAGGTAAGTGCAATCAGTTGATCATCCTGAAAGAGCGCTAACTCATGCCACCTTTGAAAATTTAGTATTTATGACAGATCTAAGGGAGTGCTTTGTGTTCCTCTTTTTTTCGATTGGGAAATTCAAAAAGTCCAATTATGATTGACTCATCTCAACTACAGTACTGCTACTAATTCATGGTTCGGTATGCGACGGATTAATCCGTCGCAAAGCGTCGCTTCGTCATAACTTCAGTTGAAGTACTCCGTTCAAGCTGAAAAAAAAAACATCTTCGGAAAGCTCTTCTCATGACAAATTCAAATAAGTAATAATCTTCCGATTTTCTCAAGTTTTTCGCCTTTCTTCCCGAAGAAAAAACGAAAATTGAGTCTCTCAGCACCTGGGGGGTTACTTACGGATACAACAGCATAGTAAACCCTCCACTTACAGGAGCATAGTAAACCCTCCACTTTTAGGAACTGAAAACTTCGTTTCCAGTTCCTAAAAGGCCTGAATCGTGCTATGATTGAGGAGAGCATATTTCTTATCATTTGAATACCCTTCATGACATAGTTTAAACACTTTCAGCTGACAGCAGCAGTGCAAAGCAATTTACCAGATTTTTAGACGTTTGTCACTTCTTTCAGCCACCTATTTCGTATAACGACCGCATGATTGCCAGTGGGTAATCCTGTCTTACATGAAATTTAGTTCCTTCAATTTTGAGCATCATTTTCATGGAGGTCAAAGAGTGAGTGTTCAGCACCTGAGGTGCTCCCTGCAAATATAAAATAACCTTACCTCTCCACTTCAATAGAAAACCTCATTCTGAGTTCCTTGAAGACATTCGGAGTGTGGACACATAAAATCATTTTTATTTTCATATCCTTTATGATATAATTCAAAATGTTCCTGCTGAAAACAGTGATTTCAGTGGGCAACTGTTCAAGAATTTGCTATTATAGTTCACTTCGGAAGTGCACTTCCCCGGAACCAATTATTCTGCATTTACTCAAAGACTTTCATTATGTGATATGATATTCTGATAATAGAAGGATGAGTGGCCTTCTAATCGAACGTTGAGCCCACAATGTAATGGGTTGCTAGATATAAATAGTTCATACTGAAGAGGGGAGCCTGCCTCTGGAGTTTCTCAAGAAACTCTGCGTGCCGCCGTCCAGGTTAGCCGAAGCATCTTTGAGCTGTAATTAGTACAGGAGACGGGTATATCAGATGACGGTGTATTCGTTTTGTAGATGCGATGCATGGTAAATAACTCATATGAATTCACCATATATCAATATGAACTGCGGTTTTTGTAGACCAATTCTTTTGTTACCATAATTATGGCGCATATATATATTTGTATATATTTGACTCGTGATGTATGAATATGGAGTGAATCATGTCGCAACATGACCTGACAGGTCAGGAATCGATCGGCCTTCTCCTACTATTACCGCAGTCAGCCTAAACCCCTATTGAATGGTTGATTGAAATGCTCTCAAGTTGAGCCGGGCAATGGCGCAGTGGGAGTGCATGCGTCTCATGCTTGCACCTGTCGGATTCCATATGGATCAGATCCTGTCGTGCACAGCGCTTGCAAATGATGAAACAACAGTGCTGACAAGCAAGGTGTGCTTCTCTGTGCTAATTTGGCCGGTGTTTAGTGTCAGTGCCCCGCAGTTTCCGTCAAATGGGAAGGGGCAAATCAGGATAGCGCTTTCGAACAAGCGAAAATTCGCACGAGATTTAAGCTAGTACAACTAGACTTAATATACATAGTCAAACAGTATTTATCATAGGGTGGTCCGTTCATTTTGCCAGTTGTATACCACTAGGTGTTAACAGGCGTACTCTTATATGGACTCGGCAATAGCGAAGGCGGTGGGTCAATAGAAATAGATAGTGAGGGGTCAACTAGCTCAACGTTTGATTAGAAGGCTATTCATCCTTCTATTACTAGAATGTCAGATTACATAATGGAAGTTTTTGAGTAAATGCAGAATAATTAGTTTCAGAGAGAGTGCACTTCTGAAATGAACTAGCAAATTCACAAAAAGTTGATCACTGGAATCATTGTTATCAGTTGGATTTTTCGAACTCTATCATAAAGGATATCAGAATAACCATGATTTCATGTGACCATAGTCCAAATGTTTTTAAGAAACTCGGAATGATGTTTTCTATTGAAGTGGAAAGTTCAACGTTATTTTACATTTGCAGAGAGTGAGTGCTCATGTGCTGAACACTCACTCTTTGACCTCCATGAAAACGATGCTCAAAAATTGAAGAAACTAAAAATTCATGACATGGCAGGATTATCCACAAGCAATCATACGGTCGTCATACGAAATAGGTGGCTTAAAGAAATAACAAACATCTAAAAACCTGGTAAACTGCTTTGCACTGCTGCTTTCAGCTGAAAGTGTTCAAATTATGTCATGAAGGGTATCCAAATGATCAGGCATCCATGCACTCCTCGATTATAGCACGATTAAGGCTTTTTAAGAACTGGAAACGAAGTTTTCAATTGAAGGGGAGAGTTTACGATGCTATCATATCCGCAAGTAACAACCCGTTGTCATCGGAGAAATTAGGCTGATGAACATAGGTCCAGTCAAAATTACTTCTTTTAAACTGTAAGCAGGGTTACTAGCATTGAAAAAAATTGTATTATTGGTAGATATTATTCTATCTTTCCAATGAATACTCCGAATTGAGCTCTTCGAAATATTAGGTTAAGAGCAGTCCATTGTGCGAGAATTTTGTAACATTTCGACCGAGGTTCAATCGGCTCCATAAACTTTCCTTCATGAACATGTTCCGTTGACCACTCAAATTTATAGAGACTGTGTTTGTTTTTTTTTTGAACTCGCGACGAACCAATCGGAGATAAATATCTCTATCAGGTTCACAACTGACACAACTGCCGACTAAAGTGTTAATCATAGGTATGTAAAAAGTGCAGAAAACCCATGATCCATTTTCACGGGTTCCATTCCCAGAATGCTACGGGGACGCACATCAGAATTGACATCGTCAAGCGGATATCACTTGTTCGCGGTGCCATCTCACCTAGGCAGCATCAAGACCGAACGCATGTCTAGAGCTGCGAGCATAGAAAAACAGCCAACCGCAGGCAAATGACGTGAAGGAATCCTTGAATCGTGAAGGAATCTGTGGCCCCAATCTACTACTACAGAGTGTTAGTCTTACCATAGGGTCTGTAAGAGGATGTGAAGCGGAAAACTAGCTGCAGTGTTTTATACTGGTCGGCCGTACAGGATTGCTATGGCTAAGCTGCTTCAATCAGTCAACATATCAAACAAATCATCGTCTCCAAGGACCTAAAAGTGGTGTGAAGCTTCTGATCTGCACCTCATCCAGCCAAAAGCAGGAACACGCTAGGCTAGTTGCAACATTTCTCAAAAAGTAGGTTGGCAAAAAGGTTCAGTCAACTCATCAACCCACCCAATTGATACTTTCTGGTGGTATTTAGAATTATCAGGACGGAAAGTTAGCCAAATCGGCTCGTGTGATGCATTTACAGATTTTGCGCTCACCCGATATAAGAGGAAACCGGAGACACACTATATTCTCACAATTTCCCCTAGAATAACTTCGTGAGCCTGATCTTCCGTGTTGCGTCTTGTAACCGCTCAACTTCGCAATTTCAGGTGTCGGTTTACGTGATTACTCCCATTCCACTATGCTTGTAAAAACTTCTGTACTGTTGCATACATATTACGAATAACAGCGCAACTCACTTCTCCAGGGTGGAAGTTGTTGCCACTCACTCAGCGCATTTAAGCGCTTGATCAGGCGAGCCCTAGATCAGAAGTTCTGAACCAGTCTCAGGTCCTTGAAGATTATTTGAAAGGATACAAAACGATTGAGACGTGAAACGTCGACCAAACAAAGCAGCTCAACCATTACACACCTGTACAACAGAAAACAAAACATAAGCTATAAAACATAAGCTAGAATACCCAGCCATGAAAAAAAAAACAGGAGTTTTGCAGTCTCCTCGACACGTCTCATAGTAGGTTCCCTGCCTTCGACTTCGTGCCTACGTCCTGTTCATGGTCTGTCTAGTTCTAGTCATATCTAGTCTATTCTACACTAGTACGCTTGTTTGTTAGAAAGGAGCTGTCTATTAGCGTTACGTGTAAGAGGGGGGAATTTTTCGACTCTACATCAAAGGGGAGAGGGATATGCACTCAAAAAGCTCATTGGATCACGGCACGCTTCTTCTTCCATGAGGTTTGGAGAACGTATGAAAGCAGAAAAAGGTGTACAACTATCTGCAGCTAATAGACACTGACACATTCACATTATAGGACACCGTTCTGGCTGTTCAATCTGTTCTCGTCAATATTTCGTGTTCGCATCACATCACAACTGGAGCGTATCGTTGTGAACATCATTCATCTATTCCCCTACGTGAATTGTGCACTCAATCCATTGTTGTACGCCTATAGAGCCGAGAACTTCCGCATAGCGTTCAAGACCATGTTCATTTCTACATTCAGGTACGATTTACATCCCTCTAACGCAGCGTGGCGGTCGCGTCGGGGGCGTACAGTTGCATGACTTTGGTCTAGTTGGCCGGCTGTCGCGTCGCGGTCAGCGCGATTGCAAGAAACAACACGGAAACATTACCTTCTTGTGAGAATGGTAAGGAATGGTGGGTCCGTCAAAATGAGCCGTACAATAGTCAGACCAACAGTGGATGCGTCTCATGACAACGAGTTCCGAGGATACTTTATGCATCGTGCGTATAACTTCAGTAATTCAGTTGAGGGACTAAAGTATGTTCTCAAATATGCAACGTATTTTTTTTTGAAATAAGTGTCTTTTTAATTCCCGGGAAGCGCTTGTGCACCTCTACACGTTGATGACGGCCGTGTTTTTTTTCGCGAAGGAATGAGGCATTTGATTACAGAGAGTATTCACGTTGAGCAATCGTAGGTCTACATATAACTGCATCGCCTTATGATCAGACTTCTAATTCTATTCCTAATTTTCATGATGAATAATTAATTCGAGACTGGAACTGAAGAGAACTTCTAGAAGCAGAATGAGAAGCTTCTGTTACTTAACAATTAAGGGCATTTCTCGAAGTTCCACGGTACCTTTCAACATTATAGAACTACTGGATTGGGTGGGATGAGAGAATTACGTGATGAATTAGACTTGCTGGAATGAACACGATGCTGCTCCATACGAAATCTTGACAACGTTCTACTTCGCCCTGTTCAGATCGGACCTTCCAGTTGCGAGAAAAGAAAGAAGTTCTGGAGCAAACGCTGCCTTTTCTGTCAACAGAAGGGCGTCATGCGATTGAAACGATGCCTCGAGGCAAGGCGCCGGGGAAAGACGGCATCTCCGTAGAGGTTCTACAAGCGTGCGGGCCTCCTTTATATCCTGGCTGAGTGTACGGTTCCAACGGCGTGGAAGCAGTCTTCGACAGTGCTGCTGTTCAAGAAGGGCGACAAAGAAGATCTAGCGAACTATCGTTCTATCACGCTTCTGCCAGTACTTTATAAAGTATTCACACGTTGTATCTGGCACGTATCCGTAGGACCCTAGAAGAGACTCAACCGGTAGAGCAAGCGGGTTTTCGTCGAAACTTCAGTACCCTCGACCACATCGCAACTTGCCGACGTCTTATCGAGGCTTCTCGGGAGCATCGCCTTCCCTTCGTAATGACCTTCATTGACTACAAGAAGGCGTCCGACTCGGTGGAGCCAGTAAAGCTCTGGGAGGCGCTGGAGGAGCAAGGAAAGGACGTACTACGAGAATGCTACTCAGACTGTACAACGGTATTCCATCCTTTCTACAAAGACGTTCGTTGTAGTAGCAGTTCAGAAAGGAGTACGACAAGGGGATCCGATATCGCCAAACCTGTTTTCCGCCTGCCTAGAGCACGTCATACGTCGCTGCAACTGGAGTAACTTTGGTGTTAACATCGACGGTGTGCGTCTTAACCATTTGCGATTTGCCGACGACATCGTGTTAATCAGGACTCTCCAAAACACGCTTCTGAGATGCCGCGTCGCCTAGATGAGGAAGGAAGCCACTGTGGTCTCACCATCAATACTTCTAAGACCAAAGTAATGCAAAACCGGTTCTCAGGCGATGCCCCTGTACTTCTGAAAGGAGGTGCTATCGAAGACGTTGAAGAGTGCGGGTACCTCGGGAGCCAGCTTAATATGAGGAACGACTTAACTGGAGAGTTAGCAAGTCGTCGCAAGGCTGGATGGGCAGCATTTAACTCCATAAGAAGCGTATTAGAGGATACCAGGGACTGCAAACTTCGAGCAGACTTGTTTAATTCAACGGTGTTGCCTGCCCTCAGCTACGCGGTAGAAACCTTGGCTCTGACGGAATCACTGGAAAGACATTTAATGTTCACCCAGGCTTCCATTAAACGTCGTCTTTTGGGTCTGACGCTGAATCGGCAACGAGAGCTCAAACTTCATAATTCCGACGTCAGAGCAATGTCGAAAGTTAAAAACGGTCTAGTTCACATCGATGAAGCAGAGCACAGATTTGCCGGACACCTAATGCGAAGAGAGTATGGACGATGGACCTCGGCCACTGTACGATGGTACCCGCGAGAGAAGAAGCGGCCGCATGGCCGTCCTCCTTTACGATGGGCAGATTCTCTAGCTTATCGAGACAACGCCTATGATCCGGAGTCCTTTGGGGGCGACTACGCACTGGACAACCAGAGCTCAAGATCGAGAATAATGGAAAGGAAGTTGGGACCCGCGCAAGGCCAATCGCCGTGCTGATGGTCGGGTCGTCTAAGTATCTAAGTATCTAAGTAAGTATTAGACTTGCTGTCATGGTCCCGCTTGAGTGACCTAAGTGCAAAATGATTAAAGAGCTGCCAAGCGGACATATGATGCTACGAAAAGTCAGCAGGTGAACTAGGATTTTGCTTTTAAAGGAAGTTTCCCCGTGAATGGATCACGAGAGTGTGTGAGGAATTGGATAAATAATGACTAAAGGAACTACTATATATGACATCAAGGAAAGCAGAAAGTAGACACAAATAGGACCGAGTCCACTTCTATAGACAGTGTAAAAAATGGCTAGATACTCCGCACAGTCTCATTCCTATCATTATTTTTTACCGTCAATGACATTGGTAGATTCAATGACGAATTACTACCCGAGATAATGCTGGGAACTTTTACAAACTCGAGGAAGGAAGCGCTCTTGTTTTCCGAACGGGATCGATACTATCCTGACACGAGCGACGTTGATGGTGGTGAAGGGTCAGAATACGGTACCTGGAACGACGGCATCTAATCAAATAAGAGCTGAAAGGGTTCATCAAAATACGGAATATCGCCGCACTCATTCCGGTCCTAATCAGGCATTTTTTTTCCGAAGACCTGTTTGGGGTGTTTTCCACACTGACGAACAGATTAACACGATCAGGAGAATCGTTCATGATGATTAGAGTTACTGAGGAAGTGAGAAAAAATTTGAATTGGCCTGCAAATGTTTTACTGTTTCCTTGGAAACCAGGGGAGCTACTTGTTGCTGAAACCTCAAAATCTTGCCTCATTCCGCTTGAAATAAAAATCTTGAAAGCAGACGGGTAGTGAACAAAGCCGAACTCAGTGAATTAAGACGACAGAATAATATTGATATAAAAAACCCGCGAGTTCCACATCAAGCTAGCTTGCCTGACTTCTGCTCAATATTCACTGACATCGTCCCACAGAACAGAATGCTTTCAGGCAACAATGACCGGGATCGTCGTCAACGAGTTAATAGTCAAATTCCTCATGATCTCATTTTTAGTTGTTTTTTATTTCATTGCATGATTTCCATTATCATAGGGTTTCATTGCAGCTCATTTGAGTGTATATTTCCTTTCCGAGCACTCGACCAAAACCTTTCCTAGCCATCTTTGCACATACAACCAACTTATTCTACTCTTGTAAACTACTGGCCTCTATCTCACCCCGCTTCCCCTTGTGCATGAATATATTACCAAAGGAGGTCATCAAAGTCAACACGCATACATACAGCACACATGGATGCAGCATAAATGCTTTTCTATAAAGTTTACTCGAGGTGAATATTAACAATGGTCAGTGAGATGAGAGCAGTGTTCGTAGATGATGTGCTGTTTCCAGATCAACCCGCGACTCCGGAGCGCCACGACCAGCAGCTGCAAGAAGAACGTTCGCCGCAGCGATAAGTGACACTTTCTGCTGACTTAAAATTTAATAAGAACAGTCAAAGCATTACCTCGAATATCTGCGAATCTTAGGTTCTCTTTTTGTTCAATCAAACGACTTATTCTAGTAGTTAGTAACTCAATTCAATACATCCTTCGCAAGTAACTGTGGGGAACCAATGGGTGTAATTTTGCGATTTTTAAGAGCTCATATTCAAAGCATTGCTATAGAGCATCTTGAATTTCTGTGCTCACCCATTCCAGCGAGCCTATTACCTTTGCCTTCGAGCGAACAGAAGTACTATTTTTCTCAGAGCACAGAGAATTTCATACCCTGCGCGGATCCTAGGATGGCGTCAAAAGTTATTCTGATTCCCGCTGTGGAGCTGTAAAGAGAGGCTGACTTGGCTTTGATTCAAAGTTTTTCCAAGAAAATTTACGGATCTCCCTTCACTGAGGGTTCTCACTGAAGGATCCCAGCCGGTGAGCGACGAGGCTACGTATGGCATCACCAGGCGGCGGATAGTGGAGTTAATCGGTGACCAAAAGTCGCCAGTACTTGCCTAAAGGCGCAGGTGGATTCAGGTGATGGACTTCCTGATTCTGCTGTGCTGGTGGATATACCTTCCGTTTCCCGCTGGCGTATCCACGCATACGTATGTGGAGAATCTGTGGGTGCACTTGGTATCCTGCCCATCAACTCAGCCAAAAGCTTGCATTTATCTGGGAAGTTTCTGGGAGGCGCTTCGGGGCCGTCTCCAAAATTAAGCCCCTCGTCCTCGTCCACTGCGGTATAGCCTGGCAAACCCTGGAATCAAACCAGCCCCCACGTCAGAGCCTGCAAGCTACACGTTGAGGATTCTCTCACTAAAAACAGTAATAAAAATATGCCTTATCTCCCTGAAGCTGAAAGGGTCCCCGATAAGGCAGCTTTGAGGGCCAATACCGCTCGGCAGAGGCTGGTGAAATCTCAGGACCAAAACAGTCTGCCCAAACGGAGAAGGACTAGGATGGCGATCTGTGCTTCCATCGCACGGACGCTTGCATCGGATGCGTGTATAGAAGACCTGGTGATGCAAGCTAGGAAGATCAAGTACGACGTCATCGGATTGACCGAGGCGAGAAGGCATCGCCGCTGCACGCTGCATTTCAGACTGGAGAGGAACTGATTCCAGGAACATGCGACACCAGAGACGTCGGGGCATAGGTGCCTCGTCAATAGCAATGGATTCGTACGAAAGCTTGACAACCCGAATCGAATGTATGCGATCAAGAAGATGTGGATCAACTCCAGCTCTAATCATCTTAGTTGCCTATGCACCAACGTCAGGTTACGAAGAAGAGGAGTTGGAAGCGTTCTGTATGGATCTGGAGAAGCTCTGCAGAGAAGACCACACTTTCTTCAAGGTCATCGTCGGTGATTTTAGCGCGAAGATTGGCCCCAGAAGAACGGCTGAAGAGCTTCACATTGGGACTCACGGAACAGAACGGAATGAGCAGGGTGAAAGGTTGTCCGAGTTTATCATGTCGACCCACACCACCCATAGTAACTCGCAGTTCCAGAAACTCTCTCATTTGCGATAGACATGGGAGTACCTGGTGGGCATTTCCATAATGAAATGGACCATATCACCTTCAATCGGAGATTTTGTCTGACTGACGTCGTTGTTGTTCCCAAGTTCTATATGGATAAGATCATCGTCTCCTCCGCGCTAGATTCTGCTTCTCAGTGCGTGGAGGGAGAGCTATGAAGTTCAAAAAATGAAGCCCTGAGACTTAAATAAGCTGGAACCACTTCGCTTCTCTTGCGAGTGAATTGGTAGATTCCCTTATCGACAACATCGATGAAAAATACAATCGACTCGTGGAACATCTTCACGATGGTGTTCGGAAATCAAAGAGTCTACAAGTAGCCGAGAGACGACTCTCTTCGAAGACTCTCGAGCTGATACGCCGGCGTGGAATCGCGCGAGCTACAGGCAATAATAAACTAACGTCCGAATTAGCGAAGTTATGTGGAGAAACGATAAAGGAAGATCTGAAAGAAAGAAGAGCAGCAGTTATGGACGAAGCCGCCGTGGTCGCAAAGAGCATTCGCAAAGCTCGACGGAGCTTCGCCAATTACAAGACCAAAAAGACTTCACTTCGTCGTCCTGACGGAGCATCTCGAAGGGTATTGCAAAAAGTCATCTGCGACTTCTACTCGGATCTCTTCGACAGCCGCGTCTGCCTGCTCACTCACCATCTTAGGCAAGACGAGTATATCGCTCCTTCGGTTCTAGGTTCCGAAACACGATACGCCATCACGTCCGTGAAGAACTGTATGGCCCCGGTCCTGATAGGATCAAAACAGAACATCTGAAGAGTCTTCCACCAGTCATCGTCAGAACTCTGGCTAGGCTCTTCACGCTGTACCTGTCGGAATGCAAAGTGTCCACGTCGAGGAAAACTAGCAAGACCGTGTTGCTGTATAAAAAGGGAGATCCAAATGATATTGGCAATTATTGCCCAATCTGCCTGTTGTCTGTAGTCTATAAACTCTTCACACGAGTCATCCTTAACAGGATTGGCAGAATATTAGATGAAGGGCAGCCATGCGAGCAAGCAGGGTTCCGGAGAGGGTTCAGTACAATCGATCATATCCACACTCTAACAAGGCTCATTGAAGTATCGCGAGAGTACAAAATGCCGTTATGTCTTACGTTCATCGATTTGAAGAAAGCCTTCGACACCGTTGAGACAGAAGCGGTAATTGAAGCTCTGGGCAACAAGGGCGTCTATACTCAATATATAAGGATGCTTCGTGAGTTCTACGACAACTTTACGACAAGGATTTCACCATTCTACAAGGAAGTCATTATCAGCGTGAAGAGAAGTGTCCGGCAGGGCGATACCATTTCGCCCAAACGTTTCAGCGCCGTTCTCGAGAATATCATGCGTCATTTGGAAGGGGAAGACATGGGAATGAAGGTCGACGGCCGCTACCAACATCACCTCCTTTGCAGGCGACATCGTGCTTATAACACCGAACATCGAGCGGGCGGAACAAATGCTAGCCGAGTTCGACAGCGCTTGTGGAAAGATCGGCTTAAGATGACCTTAACGAAGACGATGTTTATGAAAAACTGATTGGTACCTGATGCTCCCTTCACTTTAAACGAAACGAATATTTCCGAATGCTCTAGGTATGTCTATCTAGGTCGGAAAGTCAGCACCATGAACGACCTAGCTTCGGAGCTGTGCAGAAGGGAACGCGCCGCGTGGGGAGCATTCAAGAATATCGAGAGAGTAGTGAAGAAGACAAAGAATATCCGGCTCCGCGCTCACCTTTTCGACACTGCTGTCCTTCTTGCTTTGACGTACGCCTCGGAGACTTGGACTCACGGAACTCACGGACACGGAAGCAAGATCAGCGTTACCCATTGCGCTTTGGAAAGTACGATGCACGAAATTTCTCTGTACACGCAACTACAGAAAGGAATCCGGAGTTAAGAGCTTAGTCGTCGAACGAATCGAACGAAGATCAGGGATGCCGTTGATTACGCCAAGAAATCGAAGATCAGGTGGGCCGGACACGTTATGCGATACAGTGATGACCGCTGGAGCAGGGCGGTTACTGACTAGATCTCTCGGGACATCAAACGAACTCCTGGACGGCCGCTAACGAGATGGTCAGTCTTTTTCACGAAAGCTCTGAACGAAAGTAATGTTGGACCCACTCGGGCTCGTGATAGAGACGAATGGAGACCTTACTGGAGCCCTCTCGAGGAAGTCGACGATCAACGGGACGAAATGTGACAGGTGATATTATGATGAGAAAATTTATGCTCTCCACTCACACACATTTTTGGATTTAAGCTTTCGCCATGCGAAGAATTATTTGCTTTTCGTTTATGGGGAGTAGGGATCTAAGTTCAATTTTCGCATTTATCTCGCCAAAACGTGACCGCCAAGAAACTTCGTTGGTGTGGGACCTAGCTCAGGGCTCGCAGATAAAGATCCTGACAGATGAACAATGCTAGTCACCTGGAGCGCTGAGACTCAATACAGTGACGAATGATGGCACCTAGCGCTCCACGTCCTGTTCATGGGGCTATGCGACGTTACCTCTGTAGTAATTTGTCTAATTTTTGTTACCTACCTAAATTTTTGTTCCTAGGACCTAATTAGGGTGGAAGCGGCGTAGTGCAAGTACGCACTACCACACACATGATCTCGGGTTCGAATCCCGGATCGATATCCGCCTAGGCCAACCAAGCCTTCCATCCCTCAGGGGTCGGATTATTTGTACCATATCCGTTTGAGAGGATAAAAGCACTGACTCATACATAGGCTGGCCACCGCAAGTTTTCTTGCAGACCACATACGCATTCAATATGTCACTACGATTCCGAATGGGAACAGAATGCGGGGGCGCATTCCCCAGACGATACGGTTCGGTTAGAAGAATCATTTCATTCATTGGTAGTGTGGGTAAAAAAATTTGTGGTAGATATGAGGAGTGCTTTTTATTAGCTGTTCTGAACTTGCCATGGCTTTCTTCATTCCCTCTTCATTTGTATCAGCGATCTTCTTACTTTCCTCTCTCTGTTCACTCCGTCACTCAGCTCTATGTTAGTCGGCAAAATCAGTGCTAGCTTTGATACGTTCTTTTGCCACTCGGGTGCCGTTTACAACAGATCTTCTTCTTCGACCACTGACTGCGGCCAAACGTTACTAGGAATGTCGTTTCGAGCCATCTAAAGATTTCAGGAAGGCGTTTCAACATTCTTATACTTGTTAACAAGCCAAAAGAATGAACAATCGAAATGGGATATATCATTCAAATGCATCGAGCTCTCCTCTGATAATAAGTCAGTCACCGCTGCTAAATACTGTAATTAATGAATCTCTTGAAATCCCGATCAACGGCTTATCCGTATTTTTACTCCTTCTTCAGATTTCCTGAGAAATGAGAAACGGTTCAAAGCCCGGAACGCCGTAGAGAATTTTCGGAAAAATCTAATTGAAGTACTTAGAAAGAGTCGCACCAGTACAACCTCCATTCGAACTCAAATTCTAGACTTCAGCGAATGTGAACGAATGCAACATCGCCAACAGCGCCATTTCAGCCGTGCTCCAAGAGAACACAGAACAAACGAACGAAGCGGGCCTGCTACAGATTCACAAGTGTCAGTCTTCACCAACCCCTTGTAACTCAAAATTCACGAGAGGCAACTTCATGAGAGGCAACGTCAAGTACTCCATTTATTTTCGTTGAAAATTTGAGTGTGATTTTACTTGCGAACGTGTGACTATTCAGGGCAACAACAAGTCAACAGTGGCGTGCACCTTCTGCCACTATGAAAAAATCAGCGCACAAGAGCTGTTCCGGGGATGGGGAAGACATTGGCGCTACTGATGCTGGTATGAAGATGCCCGTCAACTGATACATCGCTTTTGAGAGCTAATGTTCTCGTGCAATTCTATTCACCACCCAGTTTCGCGCAGAATGTTTACGTACCACCGAGAGAAGAGCATAGCCATAGGGTTACTCTATGTAGAATCACTTGCAGCTCCCTCGGTGCTGAACAGAGTGTTCTGAAAGCTAAAGTCAGCACCTGTGTGCAGCGTTATGCAGCTCCATTCATCTCCTGAAAGTTTCAGCGTTCTCCATTCAAACACTTCGGCGCGGGTTCGATGTAAATATCGATGTATCGATGAATAAATATTGATTTACTGATATGTATCCTCGTACTAGTCAAATCACCCAGATTTGCGTCATTGTCGTGATGTCTTGCTAGAGCCTGTAATTTCTCCTTCGGAAAAGAGCAATGAATATCTCATATTTAGCAGTACAAATGGACATCAATCAAAATCAGAGAACCATTACCGATCACTTGCTCCGTAGCTTCAGTCCTACCATCCCTCTTCATCTCCTTTAGGGTTTGGACATCCTTCTTCGATAACGAATAAAGCTGTGAACAACCTGCTACTTACACAGTAAATCGATACATATCAGATTATTGATCAACATCCCCATAGGCGTGCTCGACTCGATTTTCGAGTGGTGGTGTCACAGTGCACACGCTACTTACGGCCATTACGCTTGTGTTTGTCCCATCGTCATTGTGTGCATTCAACGACAATAGAACGAAAGGGAGATGAGGATCTTTCTCCTAAGAGCTTCAGGCCTAAATACTTGTAATCCTTTTGTTCGTATGCAGGATTCTTCAAATGTCTTTTGCGCTTTTGATATGTGGTATTTCTCTTTATTATCCAGTGCTAGTGTAATTGTGATTGGCACCAAAAGCACTCATTGGTT